ATATATATATATATATATATATGAGAATAGAGTCTCCAGAGTCTATTAAAAAAAAGAAGCCTGATAAACACAAATATGAACTTACAATAAGAAACTATCTCAAAATCTACAAACAAGATATATTAAGGGAAAACTGTTTTCATTTACTACAAATGTACCATAAAATTTCACCTTTAATTATTTCCTCTGGATCATTTAGAATTTTCTGGAATGAACAACTGATATGTGCACAACTTACATACTGGGATGATTCACCTCTGCTTATCTGGCAGATGATCCTGAGGGGGTTCCATCTCCCAGCAACTGCCTGCCTTAACACTATACACACAGTCCTACCTATTTGACTGAACTGTAATGGGTTCAACATAGGATGAATGTTTGTAGAGAAGTAAAGCTGATAGTAAGAACTGCATTTTGCTAAAAGATTGGACTAAGGCTAGACTTGGGGACATACAATGTGTAAGGCTTAGAGGAGAAGGTAACAAATGTTCGAATCGGACTAGTTTCCACCTCAAACTCAGCTTCTTAGATGACTGTCACAGACTTGAACCATCATCAAATTCATTCAAAGGTTTAGTTGTTTGAAGAAACTTACTTTATGCCTAACTAAAGTTTATATTCAGTATAAACGAGGGGCCAACAAACTATGACCTTCAAGCCAAATGAGGCCTGTTGCCTGCTTTTATAAATAAAGTTTTATTGGAACACAGTCATGTCCACTCATTTACATTTTGTCTAGAGCTGTTTTTGCACTATGACAGCAAAGGTGAGTAGCTGCAACTGAGACCACATGGCCCACAAAGCGAAAATATTTACCCACTGACCTTTTACCAAAAAAATTGCCCACCCCAACTGTGAACTATATTTTCTCCTCAATATATTTAATGTGTTTCTTGAATAACAAGTCTGTGAATTAAATGGCCCTGACTACTCATATATAGGAAGGGGTTTGAGGATCCATTTTAGTTTTTTTATTAAGTTTCTTATGCATTATAATTTTTAAAAAATAAATTCTCACTTCCTATCAAAGGCTGCCTTGAGTGATAAGGGTTTCATGACCCCTCCCTTTCTCCTACTGTGGCACTTGTTTTTGCTCTACACAGTGGGACTCCATTAACTCCAAACTATTAATCTAAATAGTGAAAGCATAATTCCAGTCATAAGATACATATTTAGGGGCACCCAGCTGGCTCAGTTAGTAGAGCATGCAATTCTTCATCTCAGGGTGGTGAGTTCGAGCCCCACACTGGAGGTAGAATTCGCTTAATTATAAAAGAAAAGAAGACACATATTTAAATGTCTATCTAGTACTTTTCCCCAATTTCCATGATCTGAGAACAGTTGCTCTAAATTAATTCTTTCAAAAGACTATTAAATGTAAGACAATTTGAAATTTTTTTTAAATTTCAGAATATATAACATTTTATATTTAGAATATATTTAACATTTTAAATTGTAGAATATATATGAATAAAAATAAATATCTCTTGCCCAGAGAGCAAGGAAACATAACTATTTTTAATCTATAACTTTAAGTCAAATTGGCATAATACTCCATAGAGAACATCTTATAAACCGCCCTACTCAGTTTTTAATTCAGTAGACAAAGCTATGTCTTTGTCTTTTCTTCACTAAGACATAAATCCTATAGAAAATCACTTCACTAAGAAAAACAAGTACACACACACTATTAACAATTGTTTGCCAAATAAAAAAAGAGAGACCAAAAACACATTGTTTTATACTGTTAGAAGTATGAGAAGGGCTTCTTCATAGCTGGTGATGAATAGAAAATAAAGACACACCATCATTATTTTTGTCCAAACTCTTAAATGCCAATTTCATTTTTTTCTCATGGTCTTTAAGGTACTGCATAAATTCTTCAAAATCCAGCTTTCCATCTTTGTTGATATCACCAGTGGTTAAGATTTTCTACAAAAAAAGAAGAAAAAGAGTTTTAAATAGGCTAAACTGCAAAATTATTTGGACATACAAACACTTCGAGCAGATTGCCTGTTTTCCAGAAGACATGCATTTTATAAACTCCAAGATAAAAAACACACACTTGACTTAGTATAGGATTTAAATGTCTAAAATAGTGTTTTTCCCTTTGATTTCCAAAATTAAATAATCTTTTCCAAAAAATGATCCTTATAAAAAGCTGTCATATCAAACTATCTATCTCTATTAATACAAATCATTGCTTTTGAGAAAGAAATAAAATTATGTTATTTGATATTACAAGCAAGCCTTCTACCACCATCACTCAAAATATAAACCTTCTGCCTGGTAAGACACTCATAATCACCCACTCAAAGCTTATAGACTCTATTAGTTTAATGGTCACACTTTGTGGAGAAAATAATGTCTCGTTGTGAAATAATGCCTCGTTGCAGAATGTGAAATGGCCAGACCTCCAAGCTTTGGACTCAAAGAAAAGGATCTGAACTCCGTAAGATGTAACAAAAGCCTGGAGGAATATTTATGATTTTAAATGCATAATTTGAAGGGCACCTGGGTGGGTCAGTTGGTTAAGCGTCCAACTTTGGCTGAGGTCATGATCTTGTGGTTCGTGGGTTCGTGAGCTGTGTTGACAGCTCAGAGCCTGGAGCCTGCTTTAGATTTTGTGTCTCCCTCTCTCTCTGCCCCTCCTCAACTTTTTCTCTGTCTCTGTCTCTGTCTCTCTCTCAAAAATAAATAAACATTTTTTAAAAATTAAATGCCTAATTTGAAACGAAGGAAGGCTAGGGGCACCTGGGTGGTTCATTCACTTAAGCATCCAACTTTGCTCCAGGGTCGGAGCTGTCTCACATGAGTTAGAACCCTGCATTGGGCTCTCTGCCGTCAGCACAGGCCTGCTTCAGATCGTCTATCTCCCTCTCTGCCTCTCTCCCACTCTCTCTCAAAAATAAATAAATATTATGAAAAAAAAAAAAGGAAATGGAAGAAGGCTAGAAATCAATGATGAGTCAATGAGGCTTACCTCAATCTCAAAAACTCAGAAAAAAAATTTGAAACAAGGCTGAAAGAAAAAAATAAAGAGTAAAATGAAGAAAATGTGTAATTGAGACGATCAGTAATATAAATGATGCCTCTTTGGGAATACCAATAAAACTGATAAACCCCTGAAAGTGGCAAATAACGAATGATAGTGACAGTGAAAATCACTAGATACTACAGCTATTAAAGATATTATAAACAATTTTATATCAAAAAAAAAGAAATCAAGATAAAATAGCCAAATGCCTAGAAAAAAAGAACTTATCAAAAATTGATACAACAGAAAATATGAGGAGGCCTATAAGTATTAAAGAAATTTTAATCTGTAATTTTAAAACATTCCCAGGAAAACTATAAGCAGTGTCATTAGTGAAATAGATGCAAAATCCTACGTATTAGCAAATCAAATATGACAATATCTAAAATTATAATACTACACATAAAATGGATATTATTTACATATAGTTTTGTATTTACTTATATGTAGTTTTATATATTATATATCATTATATGTGTATATATATGATTTTATATATATATAGTTGTGTACGATACATATAGTTACATACAACAAGGTGAATGGATTCCAGTAATACCAGGTTAGGTTAATACAATTAAAAAAAATCTTGTAATTTACCACATTACCAGAATAAAAATCATATGATCATCTTAATAAATGCAGGAAACCATCTGATGGATTCAACATCATTCATGATCAAAAACTCTGAGCAAACTAGAAACAGTGTGGTGTTTCCCCAATCTGATAAAAGGTATCTACCAAGAATTCTAGCCTTTTTTGTTTAACCTAGTGTGAACAGGATTCTCTCATCTGCAAACTAAATAGCCTGAATTCAAAAACCACCAATTATTGCTTACAGCTTTAAAAACAATTACATTTATATTATCACTGAAAAATAATTACTGCTATTTGCTGTTATAAATTAGATTGAGGATCATCTTCACCTGGAAATTATGTCCTGATTTCACCTCAAATACATATACTGAGATGAGCATAACTCAAGAGAAAATGTCACAGCATTCTGAGGCCCCATGTACATACTCAAGTTTCTTCTAAGAAGTTTGTATTTTGGTCAATGGAAATATCAGGGAACAATTATCATTTCATAAATTACAAGTTAAAAGACATCCCGACACTATTTTTGAACAGGTTTTTTTTTACCCATATTACTTTAACCCTTCTTGTGGTAAATAAGGACTCCAACTTACAAAAATATGAAAGACCAGGGTTTCCCTTTTGAATTTTCTTTTGTATTTCTCTGTAGAAATAAATGAAGACATATCAAATGAGAAAAGCAAAGGCTATTTGTTCTGAGCTTACTTATAGCAAGGGAATCAGCCATGGTCAGTTGTGGCTGAGACTCAAAGGCAGGCACAGAATGGGCAAGCTTTATAGTGGGGAAAAGGGAGGCTTCGGGTGTGCCCTGATTGGCAGCTCTTGGCCTGGGGAAGCTATAGGCAAGCTAACTAGAAGTGGGGGGCATCCTGTGTGATTGGTTAGGAGTACCTATTCAGCTTTCTGGTCCTAAGTTGGAAATGGAGATAAAAATTACAGAAGCTGTCAGTTATCAATCAATCTGTGGCCATTTGGGGTCATTACAGAAGTTATTATTTTGCTTTCTGGATTGTCTAGAGACCACAATCTGGCCTCCTGGTAAGTCTTAGTTATAGCAGGTTGGTTGCCTGGATCATTTATTATAGAAAATGGGTTGGTTTCCTGAGTGGATTGCTACAAGCTGTGGGCCAAAGTTCAATTTTAAATATGGGCAAACCATTGTCCATACTTGTGTATTCAGTCTCTCCCCCTTCACAGTAAAAAGCCAAATAAAACATTATTCAAAAAACCTATTAGTTATCAGAATAAAAAGTTGTATCTTTTCTTGCTTATCATTACATAAGTACCATTTCTATTTTTTAATTGGTTGAATTATTAATCTATATAAATGAGTTTTCTACTAGGGAAGCTGGAGACATGTGGGAGAAAACTCACATCAGAACCCCCTAAAGATGTCACTGTCGCCTGAAGAAAAGCCACATCAGTGTTCCACGGAAGTATAAGGTTCTGTGTAGTTGCTGAAAGTCCTCCAGAATTAACTCTTCCTTGGTTTTAATATGTGAGCCCTCATCAATCATCACTGGGTATACAAAGCCTTTATATGGCTCACACCATCTCTTACCAAAAACAAAAGATTTGCAAAAAAAGTTTTTTGACAAGAAAAAAAATGTTTCAAGAACTGAACTGGTTTATGGCTTAAACCAGAATTTCTTATAAAAGCATAGTTTGTATCAAGTAAACAAACACAAGTCACACTTGAAAATCTAAGTGCAAGAGTGGCTTTAAATAAGCCTAAAAAGGATATTTAGCTTTAAAAAGAAGAATACTTTAGTTTTTGTTTTAGGAATTTAAAAAATTGAGTGAACTTTCCAGAGATAACATTTTGGGTTGGCCTAGTCCACAGACAATACCCAATCCAGGCCTCTGATGCTACCAATGAAGAAACTAAGGCACAGGGCTTGACATAGAGAACATTCCCAAAGTACAACTGATCTATCACTGGTTGGATGATTCAAATAAAGATTCCCAAAGATCACACAGCTAGTAAGAAGAATTTTACTAAATCTTAACATCGACAGAACTCAGCCAAGAGATTTTTGAGAACAAAATACCAATGATCTGAAATGAATTCAATGGTCCTCATGGTCTTGAATCTGCCATTCTACTGGTGTAGATACCCAAAGAGCAAATATAATTGGAAAGTAATTCTATTCAATACTAATTTCCAAACAGAAAATAATTTGGAAATACAGTGATTGAAACAGGTATAAGGCATTACATACTGAGAAGTAACCCATAATCTAGGCAGCTGGGAAAAAAGAGGGATTCCATGAGGTAATGATGCCTGAGCTCAGTCTTCAAAAGTCTGCTAATTAGGCATGCTATGAGGAAAGGTCAGCAGTGGTGAAACCCCAAGACTACAAGCCACTCAGACTGAATGCCCTCCTTCCAGAAACAAAAACCAAAAGATAATATTAGATGATTTCCAACTACCACTCCCCTCCCAAACACACATATGGTGATTATCCCAGTTCCCCAAAGTGAGGAAGGAACATCATTGGCCAAGAAGCCCATTCACCCTACTAATAACAGGTGAGTATATTGAACAAGGTGACCTCCTCAAAACAAGGTTTTAGCCAACATCTTGAGAACAATCTGAATTTTGAAGTTTTATGAGGGCCAGGGGAAATAATGAGAAAATGCTTGAGAAAAGTTTTAGCTGTGTAGAGTTATTCTTAATATGGTAAAACGTGGGTAATCAGCAGGTCAATTGGGAACGTGTCAATTTGGCTTCCCCAAGCCTGTCCAGAGCTCCCAGCCCCACAGCTCTCTTACCATAGCCCCACTGAGGCCCACCTGCCCTTTCTCCAGGAAATCAATGATCCTCATATCCTGCAGGCCTTCCTGAAGCTCAAGGATGTCCAGGGTCCCATCTTCATTATGGTCCAAGTACCGAAAGAGTTTTTCAAAAGGGGATCCATTTGGGATGTCTCTGGCGTCAGGAGTGGACCACGCTGTGTACTCCAACAGTTTCCCAGAGGTGGAAGTGAGAAGGAGGAAGGAGATACTGCCCACCACATGCACAGCTGGCAGGGACCTATGATAGCAGTGTTCTCCCCAGCCACTCCCCCCAGGCTCCTTGTTCGAGATTAAAACAGGAAGGGGAGAGACCATCGCAAGGGCTCCAGGGCAGAGGCTCGAGGTGCATCCGTGCGCGGGAGGTCTCACTGCTGGGGGCCTGGCTCCAGGCAGAGGCCATGGTGCTCCGCCTGCACTGGGCGGTCATCGGATGAGACGCCCAGGTTTTCACCCCACTCCAGGAGGAGCCTAGAAGGGACAACTTGTGTCCTTCCCCCAA